TCTGTCATCTGTCGCCTGCTTCATCCGTTCCTTTAGGCAGATGTTAGTGCGCCTTTGGTTAGGGGATCCAATGCCAGCGAGGTGATATATCTCTTCAACTTTTGTTGGTTTCAGGCAGCCTGTTATCTTTCGATATGTGTTATTGAGTGTGGTGTCAAGCTTCTTCACATGGGCTGATCTGCTCCAAACTGGGCAAGCATTTTCTGCGGATGACATGCAGAGGGCAACAGCTGCACTTTGTACAGTTTTGGGGTCAGCGCCATAGTGTGAAGATGCTAGCTTCCTGATGATGGCATTTCGAGATTCTACTTTGCCTATTGTCTTCTCGATGTGTTTCTTAAAGGATAAGGTGCGATCGAGATTTACACCTAGATACACTAGATGCTCGCAGTGGTTTAGCTGCACATTGTTCCACTTTAGCTTCAGTTTTCTCTTTGCCTCCCTGTTCTTCAAGTGGAAAACACACACCTGAGTCTTGGATGGGTTTGACCGTAGGTAGTTTGCTCTGTAGTACTCCGAACGGCTTGCGAGCGCTGTGTTGAGATGGAATTCAACAGCTTCGAAGGTACTATGCTGGGCTGTGAAGCAGGTGTCATCTGCATAGATGAAGTTTCGAGTGTTCTCTGTTGAAGGGATGTCAGCAGTGTAGATGTTGTAGAGTGTTGGCGCCAGGACGCCACCCTAGGGGAGACCGTTTTTCTGTTTCCGCTATCTGCTCTTCTGCCCATCAAGACGACAAAGAAGCGTCTGTTCTGCATCATCTTCTGGATGAATCTGGTGAGTTTGAGGTCATTTATGATGTCACGAAGTTTTGTCTGTAGCCTTTGGTGATTGACAGTGTCATAAGCCGCATATAAATCCACAAATACTGCACCTGTGATGAGGTTGTTCTGAAAACCTTCTTCGATGTGTTGGGTCAGGTTGAGAAGTTGTCCCGTGGTGGATTTTCCTGGTCGGAAACCTGCCTGCTCACAGTTTAGTTGGCTGTCAACGTGAGGCCCAATTCTTTTGAGAATAAGGCGTTCAAGCAGCTTGTATGTTTGGCACAGGAGCGAGATCGGTCGAAATTTCTTGGCTTCGTTCGAGTCCTTTCCTGGCTTGAGGATAGCGACGACTTTGGTTCGGAGTCACTGTTTTGGGACACAGGTGTTCTCGATGCAGTTGTTAAACATGTCTAGCAGCCATTTCTGTGCTACAGCTAGAGCCCATGTGTTTGATCTTCTCCGATCTGATGTCATCGATGCCTGCCGCCTTGTTGACATGTAGCGTGGAGATACCTTTCTGTAGTTTTTCTTCAGAAATAGGTCTTGTGAAAAGAGACATGTTCTGGTCAACTCCAGGTAGTTTGTGCCTGTGTGAATTAGTCGTCTTGGGGGCCTTTCCATTTTTCAACAGCTGATTTGCTACTTGGTCTGCAGTAACATTATAATGCTGTTGAGCTCTGGTGCTGTCAATTCCGAGCTTGCGTATGGTGGACCACGCTTTCCTGCTGCTGTGTCATAGGTATGTTCTTTCAATCATTTGCTGCCACATCTACCTATGTCGTTGAGATATCCTTGTTATAAGCTCTTCTCCAAGGTTGATGGTGTCCTATGAGAAGGGATCTGTGTCGTAAGCTGTGGTGTAATTTGCTAGAAGCTGACTTGATTCCTCATCGATGCCTGAAATGTTTGTCGTGCGGCAGCCTCTTGGGATATATGTCTACGTGACGCCTTCTTGACTATATCTATGAAGGATTCATAGTTCTTTGAATCTGCAGAGAGATGTGTTAGGGCATGATCAAGGTGTTCGGTGAAAGCAGGCCAGTCTGCCTTAGCAAAGTTGAACCTGCGCTTGAACGGGGTCTTGTTTGGTGTGATAACTGCAGTCAGTTGAATGCCGATGGGTCGGTGTTGGGATCTTGGAATCGGCTCAGCTACAAACTTACGACTGGTGTGAGCAAGCAGCCTGCTGCAGAAAACTGAAAACTGATTATATCCAATTTAGATTTCTGTTTAAGGTTGAAAATGGCTCAAAAGTGGCAAACGCCAAACTCTTCAACAGAGATCAGGTAAAGGTTGTTAATATTCTTTATCTCGTTGTATAATTAAAATTATTATTTCCTTTTGATCATTCATACTTCATTTCAACTCCGTCTACTCTTGAAGCATCTGAAAAGTATTACTGAAAAACTTTTGGAGTTGTACGTGTTAAGTAGTTTTATATGGACGAATACTAAGTTACAGAAAGCCAGGTAAATTTAGTATTTCGGCATCTTGTTCTCTTGTTTTTCCTAGCTTAGAAGAATTGTCACGTGTTAGGTTGTTTGCGTTTTATATCAAGTTCAGTTGATGTTATCGGGTTCAATATTGTCCAAATTATAACCTTGTTTGCTTGTAAAAGACATGTGAGTTACTCCACCTTTTTATACGTAATAATTATTTTGGTTCTGTTACCGTCTGTATATTAATGAAACAACCTCTTCATTCGTTTGGAATAAAATCTATGTATCCATCATTGCATCACTATAAAACTATAACCTCTGCAATTTACTCACACTGATTGAGAGAGTATATAGATATTTTATCAGTCAAAGGGTTCTGCAATCGTTCATTCAAAACATGCAAATATGTTTCGCTTTATCTCGTTATACATCTATTTATCATTTGTTATATGAAAGTATGCGTTGTTATTTGCTTGTTAACCGATTATCATTTCAGACTTGTTCTTGTTTATATAGCTGCTTGAGTGTTTCAGAAGTAGGGAAAACTGTAATGTAAACGTGTTTTGTTTGTATTTGCCTTTGAATAAATTTCATTCTCATGAATTCACACCGTGTACCGCGTACCAATTGGAAGTCTTCAGTATAACTAATTGATACGTTCATCACATGAAGAAAGGTAATTCATACACGCACTCATGAAAATATAACATCGCAATCCAACTTTTCAATGTCACTTATAGCGTACATATATATATATATATATATATATATATATATTATGTTTCATATCGTGAACATATTTCATAATCACATGCATAAAACAATCAGCGTCAATGTTTAAATACATTTAAGGTCACTTTTTTACCTTTTTTTTTTTTACTTACATTGAATTCCAGGATATTTGTGGGCGTTAGAATATTTACATGATTAAAAAAATCGTCGACGGTCAACGAACCATCGAATCGGTCGATCCCTCCTCTGTGTGTTATATATATGGACCATTTTGACTGATTCGTCAGTTCGTGTGACCGCCGACCAATCATTTATTTGTGACGTGTTGTATCCACATATGTAATAATGTAATTTATTTTTAAATGAAGAAAAAAGAGGAATAAGATGGTGGGTCTTAGTTTCAAAGATTTGTTTAAATTTCTATTTCTTTTGAAATAACCAGGTCTGGAGGAAAGACTACGCTCTATACCCATGTTATTCCAAAGGAATGAGATGGTGAGGTCTTAGTTTAAAGGTTTTTCATTTTTTTTAAATAACCGAGTCTGAAGTAAAGACTACGCTCTAATCCCATGCTTTATTACCGGGTCTTAATTTGGAAGATGGAGGGGTCTTAGTTTAATTATTTTTTTTTTTTTTTTTTTTTTTTTAAACTTTTGGATAACCTGGTCTGGAGAAAAGACTACGCTCAATACTCATGTTCTTCCACAGGAATAAGATGATGGGGTCTTAGTTTTGAAGATTTTTTATTTTTTTTTAAATAACCGGGTCTGGAGTAAAGACTGCGCGCTATACCCATGCTTTATTACAGGGTTTTAGTTTTGAACAAATTCGACAAAATATCACTTTAAATTTATTACATTTGTGGGTAAAGTCATTATTACATTTGTTGGCGATTCAAAATTATTACATTTGTGGGTGAAATTATTATATTTGTGGGTAAAGTGTTATTACATTTGTGGGTGTTGTTACATTTGTGGGTAAAGTGTTATTTCATTTGTGGGCGTTATTACATTTGTGGGTGTAACAGGGGGCATGTGCTACTGTAACAGTTCTGCAATCTTAGATTTGAATGTATTAACACTAGGGGACGATTTGACATGAGGAGGAAGTGTGCTGTAGGCCTTTGCGTTTCTATACTTGAATAATCTTTTGAGGTAATTTGTTCTCGGTTTGGGTAATTTTAATTGAGTTCCAATTCGGGAAGGGTAGGAATGGGTTAGTCTTGTTAGTTTGTTGGGTGGTTTCATCCTTAATCGTGCTGTCTTCGAGTGCGGTAATAATAACAATAATAATAAAAATAGGCATTTGTATAACGCCGTCTATCTATTCCGAGGCGGACAAGAAAAATAGAAAGAATGAGAAAGTTTGGACGAGGAAGTTCGGATGAGTGTCGAATACCAAGTACATGAGGTGTTGTGGCGTACTGGATAAGTCGTCGGACTGTGAATCACAGGGTCTGCGGTTCGAGTCCCGCCGCGGCACTAATGTCCTGAAGACATTGATCTACACTTGCCACTCTCCACCCAGGTGTTAAATGGGTACCTGTAGGAAGGAATTCCTTGAAATGCTGTGAGCGTCGAAATCGGCAGCCTAGCATAGCCGGGTAATGTTGGAGCGCCTTGAGGACCTTGCAAGGTCGATACGTGCGCTATATAAGAATCCAATATTATTATTATTATTATTATTATTATGCATTGTTACAAAAGATAAGATTTCAGCTTGGATTAAGGTGTCTAAGGAAGTTATGATTCTCAAATTAAATAGTAACATTTTCCAAAGACAAGGTGCTGCATATGAAAAAGACCTTTCACCACAGGCTACTCGTGTCTTTGGGATCTTGAGCAATTCGACCTGACAGTGGTTCGGATAGGAGCGCGTTATGCCATTTAATCTGAAATAGTGTACACATTAACCACTTGAGTATATTTACACAAAACGCTGTAAACACTGAATCGTGGACTAAGCGCCTCCATATACCGTTTAGCTGCGCTGAAAAAATGCCCGATATCTTTTCAGCACACTGTGTATATACGCACTGCTCTTGAAATAAATAGCGTCCATTCAAACTGTACACTGTTATAGTAGACCATTGTCTCATAGTAGAGAAGTCCTCATCGCAACAGATAACAAAAATTGTTCGTAAGTAATATTAGCATTTATGATCACAATTACTTTTAATGATTTTTGCAAAAGATTTCAGTCATCAGAATTAAGGACCATAAAACATTAGATAAGTATTGGTTGTCCTCTCTATTGGTCGATTTTAGTGCTGAGTTTAGAAAGGATCGACGCGCTAACATTACGAATGTAATGGTCTCATATATTACACGTATTATTCATATTCGCCGGAATCAGTATGAATATATCAGTCATAATATACTGACAAGCAATAGGAGAATAAGACATTATAATAAACTAAAGATTAGATAAATTGCTTGATATTTTATTCAATGTTTCTGCTTTCCTGTTTATTTCTCAATAATCGACCCCTCGTTCAAGTCCTTGTCTCTCTTTGTTTTCTGATCCGCTTCTCTATGTCTTCTCGTTAAGTCACGTCTGTAATTCAATTCGTATTATTGTTGACGATGCAGGTTACTTGCTTCAATTTGCTTCTCATCATGGCGTCTAATTTTCGAGCAGAGGCATATGAAAAGGTCAAGCTACGCGCTAGGAAAGGTCAAGACATGACATATGGTCATGTGATATACACGGTGAGCCAATCGCTTTTTACTGTAAAGAGCACGGATTACCCGTCTCTGACCGATGTGCTATCAAAGAGCACTGTCAGAAACCGTGTGAGCTAGACGACATCGAGGATGTCATCTTGGAGAGGAGGAAGAAACTGTACGACAAGCAGCAAGAGATAGTGGAAACGAAGAAACAACTGATAACGCTTGACTCTAAACTAGAGTCCACTGCAACTTCTGCAAGTAAACATTTTCAATCAGTCAACGATGAACTTAAGGTGGCATTCGAAGACAAATTAAACAGTGTGAAAGACAAAGAGAAACGATCGATTCGTTCGATCGACGAGGAGGCGGATAACGAAATACAAATCATTAATGATAAGAGGGAAAGACAAATCAAATCATGCCACGAAGAAGCAGAACAGCAACAATTAATTCTCAAAGAAAGCCAAGCAAAACTCGAGTCAGAAACAAAAGAAATCAACGAGGTGATTCCTAAAAAGATAAAATGTCTCAAAAATAAGCATCAGCACGCAATCAGCACATTGGATAATATTGATTCCAAGATAAAACGAATCACAAAAGAGGACAAAACATTAGTGAATGAAGCTCCTAAAGTGCTTGCATCCCTAGATGACAGCATAAGCTTGAATGTTTATCAAGATGTTAGCGACTGTCTTGAACGAATACAACGTGAAGTTCAGAGAGTGAAGTTTGTTGAAGGTGAAGTAGGTGGGGAACACTACCGGAGAATCGATGGCTATATCGGTAAATGGGAGCTTGTCAAGTCAATCCACATTCCATCGATTCTTAAATCACCTTTAGTGCAAGGTTTGATCAGTGATGATGAGATATGTGTGCGGGACGTAAGGAACGATGACGTGTATGTTACACATATCAGTACTGAACGCACAAAGAAAGTCATTGAAGGAGATTGTAGCGTGTGGTGTATCATGCGCCCCCATAGACAGCAATGTAATAGTATGTGGTAAGAGGAGACGGGACTGCGAGGGTGACAGTGTGGATGGATGCATCACTCTCTATGACAGACAATGGAAGATGATTAGAGACATCAGCATACCGAAGAATAACAGCCCTGATGATACTAGTGTCTACGTTGATGTTGACAGGGATGGGATGATCCTCGCTGCTCATTTTGATATGTCTAATATCTATGTCATCAACCCTGCGGATGGTAAGATTCTAAACACTATTACAATGCAGGACAAGGTGGTGAGGGGTGAGATACAAGCCTTGACATCAGGTGATATCGTTGTAAAGACAGGTAATGATCAATTCACTGTCATCTCACGATCAGGAGAAGAGATGGCTGTCATACACTTCGATGAGTGGTGCGGGTCACGGTGTCGCGTTGACAAACTGACAGACACACTCTACATCGCATACTGGGATACAGAGCACACTATCTACGCAGTTGATCAGGTGTCATGTGATGGTATCATCCAGGCAAGGAGGATCGTGGAATATGAGAATTCAGACCGGAACAGCTACCTGTACACTAGCCGATGCTTAGTAATTCCTACTGGTAATCTTGTAGCTTGTGACGGAGACAAGTTATTTGTGTACAAGAAGAGATTGATTGTATAAGTCATCTGAAGAAATAGATGGAGTTTCTCATATTGCATGTCTATTGGCGTATCCAAGAACCCACTATTATTATTATTATTATTATCCGATCTTTCCTATCACTCAGCTGAAGTCAAAGCATCTTTATTTCTCACAGAGGATTCTGATATTTTTTGTTACATATTTAATAATAGCAGGGATGCATTTTAATTAAAATATCATATTAATTCAAAATCTTGTTGACTTTTTAGAACTTGTTACCACCACATGCGGAATTAAACAAATTGTCACCTTTCAATAATTCTTTATTATTGTATTTCTAAGTATGTTAATCGAAGTAAGAATGTAAAAATATTTCAACACAGCGTCTGGAGGGTATCAAGTGTCCAAACTGTATGAAATAAACCTTTTCTTATGGAGGCTTGTAGTATTTTTGTACGAGTTGAATGAAAAAGTGTTAACAGTTTTCGCAATATTCAAGACGATGGGTTCATGATCAAAATTAGATTTGTAAACGGCCACTCATTCTAAAGAAAAAGGAACGAATATATAGTTACTCCCTTCGGTGATACACATAGGCCCGAATTCATGAAGGAGGTTTGTAGACAAACCAAGGTTTTTGTGCTTCATATGACGCGTTTTAGACCAAGGTTCTGTACTTGCGAATCCAAAAAGATACTGGTAACCACCTGACTTTAACTCTGAAATGATCTTTGACAATGATTCATTCAGTTTACTCCATTTTATTGCAAGAAGCCTATTAAAACAAAAGATTTGATAATATACATGATTTTATTGCGAAACATATAAATAACAATTTTGTAATGGATACACCCATTGACACTAAAAGAATCATTTCATTTAGAAAATTACAGTTGTCTTCATCGTGACAGAACAAAGAGTAAAGGTGGTGGAGTGGCCATGTTAATTCATAATTCATTGATTGTAAAAGAAAGAGGGACATAACTTTGTCGCAAAAAATATGTGAGTCTCTCTTTTTAGAAATTGAAACATGTAATCGGAAAAATGTAATTTTCGGAATAATTTATCGTGATCCTAATTCAAATGTAGCTGATTTTAATGATGATGCCTTAATAAAATGTTAAATGAAAACAAGGATAATATGAATTTCACTGAAAGGTTTATTAGCTAAGAAAATATTGATAGTTTTAATGAAGAGTTACTGTCATTTGACTGGATTGATATAATATCAGAACGTAATATTGACGATGCATATAATAATTTCTTTGAAATATTCAAAATAGTGTCTAACTTACAATGGTAAAAAAGAAAAAACGAAGTCTTCGGATAAAAAACCTTGGGTAACTCAAAGATTATTAAAACGTATTAATAGAAAGAATCGTTTACATAAACTATTTTGCCAAAAACGTACTAAATCGGTTGAAATTAAATGTAAGAAATATCGAAACAAATTAAATGAAATCCTAAGAACGGCTTTAAAAAAAGGTATTACTCTGAATTGTTAACCAAGAATAAGCAACATTTTAGAAAAGTTTGGCAAATTTTAAACGATTTAATGTCTAAGTAAAATAAAACAAATTCTAAATTATTTAAGCAAACTCATCGTAATGCTAGTAAACAGTTCAGATTTTACCTTAACAATCCATGTCAAACATCAATGTATTTTTATCCAACTAATGAATTAGAAATCATCGAAATTGTTAAAGAAATAAAAATGAGTTATAACTCACTTGATATAATGTATCTAGATGTACTATCAAATACTCAGGACCGACCATGTGGAATAAGATATCGAATACCTTAAAATGTACCAAAAGTCTTCCAGGTTTTAAACGAACATATCAATATCATCTTTTAAATTTATATTAATTTGCCTTCTCCCTTCCTCTCCCATTCCTTTTACCCATCCGTTTTGTTTTGCTATTGTAGTTACTGTTATTATATTGTTAGATACTTAGTTCATGTTTTTGTTAAATTTAATTTTCATGTATATACTTAAGGGATGGACCATAGACAGGCCTGAAGGCCTATTGTCGATCCCACCATTATATATTATGTTATATTTATGGTGTATTCTTGTTTGTCTTTTGATTGTTCTGTATTTTTATCAGATTGTGGAAATAAACTAAACTTCAAACTTCAAACTTGAATCCAGGATTATTCAGTCTTTCGACTGTTGTTATAGCACTGGCTTTGATGATATCAATATTTTTGTTGTAAAGGAAGTAATCCGTTCCATATTTACCCCCTATTCCATATATTTATTCTATTTTCATGTTTAGGAGTAGTGCCTAATAATTTGACAATTGGAAAGATAATCCCTATATCTAAAAAAAGCGCTTAACAATATTTTCCAATTATCGACCAATTACATTATTACCATGTTTTTCTAGAATCCTGAAAAAATTGTTTATAAAAGACAAATTATTGTTTGGATAGTAATAAAATATTAAATAATTGTCAGTATGGTCTAAGGGCAGGACATTCCTGTGAACATGCATTAATTGATTTAAATATCACTCTTTTAACTAATATTAATAATAATTATCAGTCATTTGGTAAATTTCTAGACTTGTCAAAAGCCTTCGACCTTATAGACCATAACATACTTTTGTATAAATGATCCCATTATGGAAGACGTCACTTTAATTATTGTGTTTAACTGTGTCAAATAACAAGGATTTATACTTGATGATAATCTATTATTTAAGGAACATCGTTTCTTTATAAGTAATAAGATGTTAACGAACACAGGTATATTATTTAAATTACATAGTACCCTTACAGGAAAGCACCTGCTAAAGCTTTACAATTCTGTATTACTTCCCTATATTAATTATGGTAATATTACTTGGGCAAGTTGTGGCACTACTAAATTGAACCCTATAAGTAGACTGCCAAAAAAGGCCTTACGCATATGTTCGAATTGTAAACAAAGTTTGTTTTGTATCTCATGTTTATTCTATGTATATTTATTTATGTATTTGGTGCCCCATTGATCAAGCCTTGGATTTTAGGGGCACCATGACCCTTTACTCTGTATCAATGATGCAAGATTTGTATACCGGTTTTTTAATATTTTAAATGGTTGAATAAAAAGAATTGAAAATTGAATTGATTTCCTAGGATCTGAAACAGTAAATCTATTACATTCTTCACAGTAAGCCTAAATACATGTTCAATTCAATTCAATTCAATTCAAAAATGTTTTTTATTAGCAGAAACATGGTTCATACAAATACAATTTTACATGAAGGACAGCCTAGGCTGGAATATTCATGTTTACATGTTCGGCACAATGGATAACACTTTTAAATATATACATGTAAAAAACTAGCAATATAAAAAATAAGACTTAGATTCTGTAACTAAAATCCATAAACACATTGCACAAGTTTCCAGAAATACAGCTGTAATTGTTTACAAATGTCCTATAAAAGTCAATACAAGCATGGTAAAAAGATTAAAATAGGTACATTTTAAACAGCCTGCTTGGGGGACGAGACAAGCACTTAGTATACCTGCAATAACGATAAAAGTAAAAAAAAAAAAAAAAAAAATTTCCCCTTTTTTTTTCAACTTTTATTGAGTATGTCAACTAAAAATGACAGTGGGCTATTTTTAAATCTTTTTGTTTTGAATTGAAATTGTTGATAAATGGGGATACGGCGAAGAGTGATATTGGTGTTTTTTTTCTTAGGTAACCAGGTCTGACAAATATAGTGATTTGAAAGGGATTTTGCGAATTTTCTACAAAGTGCTAGTCTCCTCTCCTCAAGAGTTGGTAAATTGCATACTTGACATGCATTAGAATAGATAATGTAACTAGGCCCTAAAATAATCTTACATACTCTACGTTGTATTTTTTCAAGATTATTATTTTGTTCTACTGTAAGACTGCTATGGAACACTGGAGCACAATATTCTAAATTGGTCGTATATAACCTACGTATATTGTCACTAAATCTTTAAACGGTAAATTGAATTTCTTAAGTTTCCTCAACATGTACAGTTTTCTATTGCACCTTTTGACTAAATCATTAACATGTAAATTCCATTTTAAATCAGATTGTATAATTACTCCAAGAATTTTGAGAGTGTGTACATTGCATAGAGTAGAGTCATTAATGGAAAGAACTTCAGGAGGAGCAGGATTTTTCATAAAAGTAACCTGCAGGGTGAAACACTTCAAGGGATTGAGTGACATATTGTTTGATTGAGACCAGTATTGCACAGAGTTAAGTATGGGTTGTAATTGTGAAACGTCTGTTGATTTACGACATTGTACTAAAGATAAATCATCAACATATTTGAAGTAATGTATAGGAATATTTTCACATAAATGATTAACCATAATTGAGAACAGAATTGGGCCAAGGCGTGTCCCTTGGGGAACACCGGCATGACAAAATTTAATATCAGACAGAGTTCCATTATATAATGTACTTTGTTTACGACATTCTAAAAAACTTATGATCCAACTTATTATCCAAGGTCTTATGTGCATATTAACCATTTTTTCAATTAGAATATTGTGATCCAAGCGATCAAAAGCCTTTTTAAAATCTGTACATACAATAGTTGATATAGACCTGTTGTTTTCTGCATGTTTATAAAGATGATGTAAAAGGCCAACAAGATAATGTGTAGTAGATAACCCTGGTCTGTTACCGAACTGATGTATATCAATGAGTTTCTCAATATCTTTCAATAACCATTGAGCCATAAAAGATTCAGCTAACTTAGAAAAATATGAAGTCAAAGCTATAGGACGCAGATTATTAATACAAGGTGGGTGCGATTTTGGAATAGGAGTTACTTGAGCGGATCTCCACTGTGAAGGGACAACTCCTTGTCTAAAAGATATATTAAGGATCCTAGTAACCGGTACACTCAATTCACATGCAAATTCTCTAATTATGCGAATAGGAAGATCGTCTCTAACAGATGCTTTATGTAGCTGCATTTTACGCAGTTTACAATAAACTGCCCAACAACTAATCTCTGGACTTTCACACTGAGAAGGTAAAAAAGGCTGGTAATGATTTCCTGTTTAAAGGAGAAAGATC